CCAACCATCCATCCATCCATCCATCCATCCATCAATCCATCCATTTGATGTCATTATTTCATGCTTTCATACCTGTTATCGCACAGATCCATCTTCTTGAGAATGGAGAGATTCACATCTACAGTCGCAACCAAGAAGACAACACTTCTAAATTTCCTGACATCATTGCTAGAATGTCAAAGGTATTTTAAAATATGGAATTAAAAACGGCAATGAATAAAACTTCATGAAGTTGCCATCTCATTTCATTGCCATCTTGTTGTCAGTATTTTGCTTCCTCGCTCAGTTGCTATGTTGCGCCTCCCTTTGCTAGTCTGATGTTCTTTCTTTCCTTTTTTTGATCAAGCCTTCATTGTTGAATAAAAATAAGCCATGAAAGGATCACTAGCCTTCGTTGGTTCGTTTAATACATGTGTTCATGCAAGCATTGATTGATTGATTGATTGAAGACCTTATTTAATGAGGGTGACACGTGACAGTAATGTTAACTGTGGCCCTCTAAATACTACTAATTACAATAATATAAATATTTGTATAGATATTTAAATATCAATCAATCAATCGTGTATCAATTGTGTTCTATGTTTTATTCATTTGTTCTTTCATTTATTCATTTATTCATCCATTTATCATTCCATTTTGTGCCAGGCGTTCTCGAGTGATGTAAAGTCCTTCATTATTGATACCGAAGCAGTCGCGTGGGACAGAGAAAGAAAGCAAATCCTTCCCTTCCAAGTTCTCAGTACCAGAAAACGAAAGGTCAGTAAGACGAAAAACTCCACTTACTAGGCGTAGAACACAGACACATCTGCAACGTTACGCACGCTTACAACTGCATTTGGTGCTCTCAGCGAAACAGAAAAACGGGAGGACAATGGGGGAAAAAGCGCCAAATATCGTATGTTGAATACGGACTCATGCTGCATCATTCGACGGACAACATTTACTGCATTTGGTGCGCGCAGTAAAAGATTTTCTGTGGCAAATGTACCAAATTTTCTAATTATCCCTGTTGTTAACCATTAACCAACAAAAGCCTTTACTCTTTTTCTACAGGACGCAGAGGCCTCACAGATTAAAGTGCAAGTTTGTGTCTACGCATTTGATTTAATCTACCTCAATGGCAAGGTATACGACTAAGAAAATATCACAGTAAGATGGAGTATAAACATCCATTAAAAAAACCAGTACTATGTAGTTCCAAACGCCACTAGTTAAGCAATAGAAAACAATTAGCTCTAAGTATCAAACTAATCTCAAAGAAGCCATGCACATGAGATGGGAAAATTCCAATTCTAACCAACAAATTAGTTCATGTGAAGTTAACAATTAACGCGTGTAAAACTCATATATAATCAACCACACTCTCGCTTGTAAAAAACAACCTGTGTACTTAAAGATTGCACTCTAACGTTTCCAATTTTGGTAATTCAGCACCTTTATTGTGAAATATTTTTTCTGAAATGTCAACCAAATGATCGACCTCTTTTATGCCTCTCTTTCATTTTCTGTAGTCCTATATCAAGGAGCCGTTCAGCGTTCGAAGAGAGACGCTGAGATCGTCGTTCAAAGAAGTAGAAGGGGTAAGATGTCATTCTTTTTACCGTCATCTCTTTTTTTCATTCATTTTTTTAAAAAGTTATTGACGCGACGTTCTGTGACCGTAACAGGGCAATGTCCGAGTACTGTAAACTCATTTACATAAATCGCGCGAATTCACCAAGCGCGACGGAATAGACCTCCTCGATTCGGGCGCAATGTTTTCCCATTTTAGACCACGTGTCATTCCCTAGAGTATCCTTTCTTTGTTTAACGGTTGCGTTCGGTTTCACATGAGAAGATACATGAATATGGATACGACTCCAACAAAGAATCTAATTCTCAAGGGAATGACACGTGGTCTGAAATGGACAACATTACACCCAAGCCGAGGAGGTCTTTGCGTACCATAAAGGTACCGTTTGACTTTTCACGGTTTTCACGAAAAAAATATCGCAAATTGATAATTAATAATAATAATGAATAATAATAATCATTATTTACTTAGGAATTCATGTTCGCTACGTGCATGACATCGACGAATACTGAAGACATCGAAGAATTCTTGGAAGAATCCATCAAAGGTAAGAGAATGAGGGATAGACGGGACTACAGTCAATGGGGGCTCTTGGTTGATGTTATGTCATCGGGGTGGAGCTGAGCTTCTGCGCGTTGCCGTGTATGCATGCATATACACCAAGATATACATATATATTCCATTTTTCTCATAGTTTTTGTTTGCCTCGTATGTACGGGTAACCTGCTCTGTCAGGTTCTCCCTATAGCTTTTCTTTTTTATTTTGCTGTGTAAATTCATTAAAGTAAAATCAGTTGTGACGTGTTTCCGGTTCTATATAAACTATGGGAATGACGTCTCTGAGTGCACGCACTAAAACCGTGAACATTAAATAGTACTAATTAGTACTATTTCATACAGAATCCTTTGTTTTGTATTGTTTAATTATCACTATCTAGTTCTAAAAGTTAGTATTTGTTTCACGGATTTAGTGTGAGCACTCTAACATTTAACCTTGGAAGTAATTTCGTAAAATGAACATCCATAAGAAGACTTTGCCAAATCTCAGACGCTTTGCAAGAATGTTTTGCTTTCTACAGTATTCGTTTTCACAGAGCATGCAAATCCTTCCGATGACAACATACTCCATAATGCCAGAGAAAAATTATAGTAATTTCCAAATTGTTTTTCAGGAAACTGTGAAGGATTGATGGTGAAAACACTGGATAAAGATGCTACCTACGAGATTGCTAAAAGATCGCACAACTGGCTGAAGGTACTTCACAAAATTGGGGTTCGTTTGGGGGTGCGATTGGGGAGGGGAGTGGAGAGGAGGTGAAAGAGGTAGAGCGATGTGTAGTAATGTGAAGGAAATTATAGATCAAGGAAAACCAGTACCAAGACAAAGCAAGAAGAAACTTTATTACAGCTATACTATGTTGAAGAAAGTGCGCTTGGTTTGCCGCACTTTCGTTAAGAAAGATTATCGTAACCAAATGAAGTTTCATAACTTATTTCATTCCCCTGCCTTGTTCTTGTTCCAGCTGAAGAAAGATTATCTAGCAGACGTGGGTGACACGTTAGACCTCGTCGTTATTGGTGGCTACCTTGGGAAGGGCAAAAGGACTGGTTCTTATGGCGGGTTCTTACTTGCTTGTTATGATGTAGAAAGCGAAGAGTTCCAAACTATCTGCAAGGTGGGTCATGAACTAGTTCAACCTCACCTTTGTCGCTTTGTTTACTTCGTTTTCGCTCGCCATCTTTAGTGTTGTTGCTATTATATGATCTTGTTTGTTTGTTGTTGTTGTTGTTGCATTCTGTTGTGTTTCTGTTAGAGCGGCGGTTTTCTTATGTGTGGGAAACGATATGGCAAATTCGTAGCCGTAACTACGCGTTGTGATTGGCATGATGAATTACTGAAAGACAATGGGAAGCCATTTCAATGTTACGGCATACCGTAAGTCAGTACCGTACATTCCTCACTCATACGAAAACCGCTCTATCGGTGTTTCCGCATTATTTGCTTATCTCATACTTTTTCCAGATTGGTAGTGGCTTTACTGATGAATTCCTGGACAAACATTACCAGTTCTTCAAAGATCATATCATCGAAAAACCCAAATCGTACTATCGCTATGACGACGGACAAGAACCCGAAGTGTGGTTCGACGCAGTTCAGGTGCATGAATGACGATACGAGTTTTCACTACATTTTCCCCAAACCTTTCTCTTTGCACACAAGGTTGTAAGACACTTTTTTTTGCCCACTTCTAATAAATTGTAAACAATTCTAATACTACTTCATTCTTACCATCCTTCTCATGATCTGTCATCCATCCATTTTCTCCTCTCGTCTTCCACTCCATCCAAGACATTCCTGTTTCAAGACGCTTCCTTATCTAGCCTTCTTGTAACATATCTGTTCCTATACCCATTCCTATTCTCGTTATTGTTGTTTTGCAGGTATGGGAAGTAAGAGCCGCTGATCTTTCCATTTCTCCTGTGTACAAAGCCGCAGCAGGACAGGTAAATCAATCTACTTTAAATTCCTTGCAAAATTTGATTGACGTTTACCCGACGTCATTATGACCTAATACTGACAGACAAATGGGTTTTATGTTCCAGGTCGATTCTGTCAAAGGTATTTCCCTCCGCTTTCCTCGTTTTCTTCGCATTCGAGACGACAAGAAGCCCGAAGAAGCGACAGACAGCAACCAGGTACTTGAAGAAAATAAACAATATTCTGAATTATATTCGATCCTAACTTTAAAATATAGAGAAGCTACTTCATCCCTGGCGGTATTACACTGCGAGTCTTTATTTAGCAAGAAATCTTGGGGGAAAACATGGCTTTTTTTTTTTTTTTTTTTTGGTGCGGAAAAAAAAAGGATTACACAGACCTCTTATAATAACATAATCATACGAGGAAAGGTTTCTTTATGTGATAGCATATTTATCTTGATATTTCAGGTTGCAGAAATGTACCGTAATCAAGACAGTGTCAAGAACAGTGCTGCCCCGACGAACCCTGACGAGGATGACTTTTACTGATAGCTTCTTTCAGTACTTACATGACAGATTGCACATTAGTTATCCTCTTGTAAGTCAAACCTCCTGGGGGAGTTGACATATTTAAGATCTTCATTTACAACAAGATGCCTTTTCTTAGCGGGACATCATTTGCACGCAATAGGTTGCTATCAATAGACGTCACTWCCGGTAATAGCTCTTTTTTGATGGCTTGTAGAATCCTGGAGGTTGTTTTGATCTCTTGTTTTCTGGTTTGATGTCGCGAAAATAGTCAAATACAATAGTTTGAGGACTTATTTTGATATGTTTTGACTTAGCATCCGCTAGTTGCCCCCCAGTAACCGCTTGTTTGCCCCCCAGTCAACTCCAAAAAGTCACGTGATTGATAGTAAGCAATACGGTTCCCCATTTGGAGGGAATGATAGACGGTGGTAAGAGTACGAGTCTTACCACGAAGGAACAAAACGAAGACTATTTTTCTAACCTGGTTTATTAAAAAAGATTAAATTTTCGAAAAGTATGTTTATGGTTATTTTTAATAAATGGTATCTTTTAGTTGATGGGTATATGGTAACTGATGAGGATGCTAATTTTTGCACTTTTCCCTTGCGCCTCCCTTATCGCCATTATACTAGAGGAAAGAGGCCTACCATCGCTCCTTTTCCCAATACTCCTTGTCAATCATGATACGCAATAAAATTGTGCAAAAGATTTAAATGAATAAAAGGTATAAGGTGAATGCTTTAGATGCGCGAAAATCTTATGATTATATGATCGAGTTTGCCGTTCGTTTTTGGTGACTCTACAGGGTTGAGAATTAAAGTCCCGACCATTTTTCCACACCCCTTTTGTTCCATCAAGTGCTTTTTCTGACTCTTCCTTAATGAACTATCAAACATGTATTCTTGTGTGGAAAAGACACGCAGCGAACCATCTAGCATGACGAGACTAGAACAGATATTAGATGTGCCCCTGCGGATACGAAACCCATGAAGCGAACAAGAGTACAATGGCGACCAAAGCAGCTACGTGAGCCAAAGCGGGAAGAATTGAAGCCTCAATTAACAAAAAATACAGAATTAATTTAAGCAGGATACGCCACCCTATATGTAAATATAGCAAGAGGGTGTGTCATGCCGCACACAGTTACCTGCCCAGTTCAATGGTCTGGTCATATCATGTGAGGGGAAAAGGAGAGGTTTTTTGGCACACATTATTATGTGCCCAAATCAGTTTATAAAACTTCGTATCGAGGATTAAGAACAAACGTACTCTGTTTTTCCCACTTTATTTTTCATTTTTTAGGGAATTTCATCATAAAGACACTATAAATATGTCTAAAATATATCGCGAGGGGGTTACGGACGGAACACAACACTTACGGTTAGCGTTTATAGCAGTGACATCAGAGATAGTGACTATAGTTATGTCATGGTTAAAGACCCAGACCGGAAATTGGGGGTAGATCCGATCATAACAATCGCTAGCAGCAGAGTTCATAGAACTCTAATAACTCTACTAGCAGTAATTATGAATCCTACTTTTAAGAAATAGGAGAGGTTTTCTCTACCTGAAGCTTTATTTTTTTGACAGCGTTGGAAAACGATCGAAAAAAGAGTTAAATTCATTTTAGTCTACATTGGTTGTGTTTTTGTATTAGGAGATTCGCCCTAGTCTCTCCCAGTCAAAGGTTTCCAAGATGGCGGACGAACAAGAAGGAGACGAAGGCAGTGGTGATGAAAAATTAACCTTACAACTAACAGAATACTTAGACGATGTACTAGGAACCAACGTAACAAGCCTTAAGAAGGTTCATTCTTTATTAGACACTACACTGAAGAAGGAAAAAGAGCTAAAGAAGAGAGTAAGTTAGCCTTGAATTTCGTGTTGTTATTGAAATAATTTCAGTGTGTGGTCCTATTGACACGTGTACTTACAGATATCTCGTACTATGAATTTGTATTTTAAAGCCTCTATTTTGCAATAGAATTTTTTATTGTTGGTTTAGTTTTTCAAAAATCGTTTCTCAAGAGCAATCATTGCCAAAGGGCGCTCATGCCTACTATCTCCATTGGCTTCAATCCAATTCTTTTTATAGCTATACGACAGAAATAATATTGCTTTTGATAGATTTTAATTATCAAAAAATCTATTTTAAAGAATAGATATTTGTTTTATGCAAATCGTTTTTACAAACGTTTGTTTTAAAAAAATTTGATTTGAAAATGATGACATCAATCATTCATACTGGAAAGAGGCCAGATGTGACATGAGGGGATGCAGGTGATGAACAAGATGCTCATGTGTTTTGATTATACACTCTATTTTTATTTTGTTATAATATTTCACGAATGATTATAACTATTTGGTAATAATTGTATTCATGACTGTTTATTATTTTTTATTTTTTATTTAATTTTTTTATTCATTTTATTCCTTTTTTTGGTTCATTCAATTGACCTAATTCATTATGAGTCACTGCTTGTTTATGTCAGGGATAGAATCGCCAAATCCTATAGAAAATTCAACTAAATTTGCTCCTAGCCAAACAGTTTAATCTAAAATGGCCTGGTTTTCAGATATAATGTGTGTTAATATGTACTAAGAAATATTCTGAGCGTTTTCTGGCTATTCCACTTCTCTCCATGGAATGATACGGAATTTAGAACAATTTTCAGTTAGTTTGTGTTGATTTGACCCCGTCCGACGACCATGATCCTTTGCGTTTAAACAATAGATTGTTGAATATTGTTTTGATGTGATGTCATGGTTTGGTCATTCATTCATTCACTCATTCAGTCATTCACTCAGTCATTCATTCATTCATTTGCTCATTTATTTGTTCATTCACTTGTCCATTCATTTGTTCATTCATTTGTTCATTTATTTATTCATTTATTTATTTGTTCTGTTATAAACAATAGTGAGTGTGAAAAGCTTCATTTAATCTATCAACATTAGGCCATCGTTGGGAAGATTATTAACCAGAATCATACATACTTTATTCATCGCTAAATAAAAGTTTACTTAAAATCTCTGTTTATAAAATGCTAATTTAATCATTGAAAAAAAGAATTGAAAATAAATACAAGTGTAATATTTCAGTATTTTGATAACAAATCGGCAAAAATAATGTATATTTATGATCATGTTTCAGTATTCAGGCTCCAGCATTGCTGATTGAGAGCCTTTCATTTGCATTTTCATGTCTGTGAGAGTCAGGATTTGTTTGTTTTTCTCAAGGATTTAATTCATGTCTACATGTATGACCATATGACCCTTTTGTGATGTTTTGCATCGTACTTTGCAAGGATTCATTCTGGTGTTAATCAATATGGCTAGCCATGTAAGCCTATTTTGAGTTCTTTTTGGCAGGAAGCTTTATTAACCTTTTGTTATTATTTTATTTTTTATTTTATTATTTTGCTGAAAGTGTTTGCAACATTTTTATATTCATGCATCGGATTGTTTCTGCATTGATTCTCCATAAATGAATATGATATATTATTGCAGTTTAGATTATACCGACTCACCTGAAATAACTTGGACTATTTGGTTATTTTCTTCTGGTGCATTCTAAGAACTAATCCTAATAATTATTTTTACAAATAAATGATTATGATTCTACCTCGTAGCTGGATGATGCAAAGAAAACAAAACCAGTAGAAGTCCAAGAAGCACTAGACAATGGGAAATCCTCTATGGAAAACATCAAAGATCTTCAAACCCAGAGGGAAGAGGTTCTCGAAAAGGCTAAGAGTAAAGTGAATAAAGTGAAGCCACTGGCCGAACACTTGTCTCATTTGGCAGACCAGGTTGCAGATATTGAACGCTTCCGAACATATATCAGTTGGATACAGAAATTAGAAGCTGTGAGGTATGTAACAGACAGAGTAGATCTTACTCCTTTGGATTCAAGGATAAGAGTGAAATGCTAAACTGAGCTTTCTGATATCTTGTGACCACACATTTTGGGGTTTTCCCACTTATGATGATTCTGGTTTTATTTTAGCTCCGTCTATCATCATCTTAATGCCATTTTTTTGGTTCAGTTGCAACATAACTGATTTAATCAATCCAATAGAGTAAGGGTTTAATAAAACATATTTGGAAGAGTGTATAGTATGATGTGTTAGTGTATGAAATCTGGAAGTACAGAAAATGAAAAATGGGAGTCCTGCTACAGCATTTGGTCATAACAAGAACTTCAGCATATTTTACTATTGATACATATGTAATTATTGTTATTATCATTATATTAAAAATACTTTTTATTGATATTAAACTGTTGCTATGATGTTAGAACAGTTTTTGTATGAGTGGGAAACATATGGTACTGACTTGCAGCACGTACATTGTACAGCATGAATGCCATAACATTGAAATGGCTTCCAATCATGGTAATCGTGTACTTCATGACCATCTGACACGCGTCAGTCGACTATCTCCCGACGATTGGTCGATAGTCAGCTGACTATCCATCGTGTGTAGACCGATCACAACAGGTAGTTACAGCTGTGGTAATTTGAAGTGCAGTACAGCTACCAATTTTCCGTATTCTTTTCCAGTCATATAAAAACCGTTCAGATGATTTATATAGTGAAAGTCTTAATACTAGTGTTGTGTCTTTTCTTACCAGTACTGGTATCCAGGAAAATCTAGAGGTCGGCATATTAGGTGCAGCAGTGGATCAATACTCTATTTTAGCAGCTGTCACCAAAGTACTGGAAAGTTCATCTTGTGACAACTTGAAGGCATTTTCCCAAGAAATGTTGATCTTTTGGAGAAGAGTCTTGCTTGAAAAACTGGCCAGGTATGAAGCAGTTTCTACTAAGAGATGGGTATAAGTTACTAGTTACTGCGGGAGGGAGAGAGGAAGGGAATGGAAGGAGAGAAGGAGAGGAGGAAGGTTGGAGGGAGGGAGGAAGGAGGGAGGGTCGAAAGGAGAGCAGCAAGGACTGTTGCACTGGATAAGAGAGGAGAGAAGAGGTTTATTTTGCAGCCCCTATGGATAACCCAGATAGTCATCTAGTAATCAACAGCTGATACAGAACAAAGTTTACTCAAATTTGTTCATTTTGCCAGTCGGGGAGAGAAGGAGGAAGGGAGCAAGAAACAGTGGTAAGAGGGGAGGGGAGGGTGATAATTGTGTGACTCCCATGGGTACCCCATAAAAACGTAAATAATAATAATAATAAAGAATATTTTATATAGCTTCAATATCGCGTGGCTTCAACAACGCTTTACAACATATTGATTATAAGAAAATCAGATCAAAATAGTTTATTCTGACTTATGGTATGGAAGGATAGCAGATATCCACGCTATGCAATTAGTGTAGAGTTTTAACATTAATTCAATTAATTTAATTAATTTAATTAGTAATAATATTGCAAATTTTGGATCATTGGAATTTCAGCTACTGTAGTATGATTTTGATCATTTGCCAACTTCATTATTTTGTTTCCTGTTTTCCTAGTGAATTTGATGAAGTCACAAAAGCCTTAAGGTGGCCATTCACATCTCTTTCAACTGCTCCCCCACTATCAACTACCTCTGAAGTTTACAAGAAGTTGGAGAAACTGTTCCTACTGCTACTGAAAATACAGGACTCGTATCCCTTTTAAATTGAACTTAAAAAGTAATTTAGGTTTAACTCAGACATACTCTGAAGGTGGTCTGAGAATCTAACTATCATAATAACAGGTTAATTACAACCTGTTAATTTTTTGTTAGAATTTAGAAGTTGATTTTTGCAGAGGGAGGAATATAACCTGAGACCCCAGAGACGAGGTGAAGTGTGGAACATTGGTGACGCACACAATCCCCACTTCCATTCCATTTTCCAATATGAAACAGAAAGAGAATATTGGATAGAAATATGTGCCAGATATATAGTTCCTGAAAAATTCATATCTTTACCAATAAAGTCATTACCATTTATTCCAAAGGTGTGAGTTAGTCCAAGGAGTAGAAGGAGGAGGGGGAGGGGGAGGGGGAGGGGGATCAGTCGTAGTACTTTATTTATCCTTAACTTATGAAATTTCTATCAAAATCAGTAAAGTATCTGATAATGATGAGAGTATAAGTAAAGCAGGGGTGAAGGAGAAGGAAGTTCCTCTACCAATTGATTGGCTACTTAAACCACTGAGAAAAAGGTTTAAATTTCACTTTTATGGGAAGAAGCAAACAAACAACCTTGAAAAGGTGAGGGAATATTTTACCTTTGGTGTTAATGTTTTCCCATTTAAGACCACATTTTGTTCTCTTGAGAATGAGATTCTTTGTTTGAGTTGTATCCATATTCATTTTTCTTCTCATGTGCAACCATTAAACAAAGAAATCACACTCTAGGAAATTAGGCGTGGTCTGAAATGGGGCATGATAGCAGAAAATTTATCAAATTTATACTCTATTGCATTCAAACATGCAATCGTTGCAATAGTCCGCATTTATATAGCGAAAATTAGCACTAAAAAGTTCAAATGCACTTCACAATTAAAATGAAAAGTAAAAGTAAAATTTGAAGCGTAAAAATATTAAATACTAGATAATGTGATAGAGTGCAAACAATTAATCTGTGAAACAGTATTTACTAAATAGTACAAAATAGTGCTAATTAAACAATAGAAAACAATGGAACTTGCTTGAAATTGTGCTATTTGGTGTTACTTAAGTTTCACAGTTATATTGTTTGCACTCTAGTGTCTCGCATATATGCCTTGTGAAATAACTGAGTTTTAAGTTACAATTTAAATGATTGATTTGATTCATTCAACAAATGCTGTCTTAAAAATATAGATAATATTATGCCATTTTTCATGTTGCTGCTTTTTGATAATAAACAGCCAGAGTGGTTCTTCACTCAAATATTGAACTGGATCAAGAGCCATGGTGACTTCATTCAGCATACGGTACAACCAATATTTGACAAGGCTAATCTTGGATATATTGATGCCAAGGTATTTATCCTAACAAATAAATAATTTAGTGTGCTTAAATCTTATCTTACCAGTTCATAATTAATATTGGTAGGTTAACACCCTTGCCTTACCCCTACCCCCACAGGATGCAAATCGGTGTTTCTATATTTTCCACATTCTTGGTGTGCAATGATGGGTGCAACAACATGACTCAAGATCTCTCAAAATATAAATAACAAAACATTTACATAAAAAAGCTCTCAAATCTCTTGAAAAGAACATTCTTGACCCCTCAGGGAGTTGTGATGGGGGGAGGGGGGCTATTAGTTCAATGGGCCCATATTCTTTGTAGACCCCTTGCATACATGTGACGTCAAAGTAAGTCGATCTGGGGGACAAAACAAAAGAATTCCAATCTCCTGAGAATTGGAACCTATTGTTTTGTCCCCCAGATTGAGCTGCATTCCAAAGTGCTGCAAGGGGTCTATGGATGGTTTGCATCCATTCCCAAGAGAACCAAACGAAAAAGATCTGGCAGCTGTATTGGTGGTATTAGGGAAGGATAAGCTAAAGAGAAATCTTCTGTTTAAATAACACCAACATAGTTGTCTCTGTACAAACAGGGTTTTTAGCTTCTTTTCTTCTTTGTTTTTTGTAGTTTGAGTTTATTCGTGGGCTGCTCAAGATCACAGTTGAGAAGATGGAACATTCTGTTCCCTTGTTGCTAACAGATGATGCTCTGTTTTCCCATTTTGTTGACGAAACCCTCCTCTTCCAGCAAGAGGTTCATAATTTGTATGACTATCCCACCAGTGACCATCAGTGCTTGAATGTCTTAGTAATGCCCAAGTGCCTTGACAAGTGGGTTGAACTAGAGCACAGATGTAAGTTGAGATATTAGGTAGAGACATTCCCCAAATTTTATGGATTCTCTGAAACAACCTCTGAACTGATCTAAGTCAGGCACAGCTAACTCACTGATCAAACGGGTTAAGCTTCGCGAATTTGCAATGTCCCCTGTGATTGGTTAGGTTTAGGGGCGGGGTTGGGGAAAGGTCATTGTTTTCTATTGTTCTACACATGTGTGCCCTCCAATAGGATCACATCTTGCAAATTTGTAAAGGATGACCCGATCAAACCCTCGAATAACGTCTGGGCTATCTAAGTCAGAGCACGGCTAACTCACAGATCGAACTCTGAAACAACCTCTTGGCTTTCAATAGCTGAGGTTGTAAATTTTTGATTGGCACAATAATAGTCCAGTTTTAGATATATCTTGCAAGACTTTTTTTTGTCTTCTGACACATTTTCTTAAGGGGATCAAGTACTCTTGCTTATTTCAAGCCTTGTTCTGTCGTAATTCTGTGTCTTGAATCAGATCACATGTTTTTCGTTGACAATGTGAAATATGAGAGTATGTGGTGGACCGCGTGGCACTAATGAAATAGTAGAAGATAATATAGGTAAGTTGTAGTGCTTGGGAACGAGGTTATTCCGGGCGAAAGCCTCTAGCCTCTGACCTCTAGCTCAGCTGGTAGAGCATCGGTAGTACAATTCCGAAGGTCGTGGGTTCGAATCCCAGCGAGGTCGGAAATTAATTTTTCCGAATTTAATTCCAAGGGCTTTCGCCCGGAATAACCTCGTTCCCAAGCACTACAACTTACCTATATTATCTTCTAATGTGAAATATGAATTAGTGTTTGATATGTGTTTTTTTGGTTGTCCAGATGCAAAGGAGAACCTCAAATCATTGGTAACATCATCGACGGCATGGAAGGGAAAGTACCAGGATGTTGGAGGTGAAGTAGATGAGACAAGAACACCTGAATGTGCTGAAGGATTTGTTACACTATTGACTGTTATAACAGGTACAGTATTGTACTTCATGATCATGATCATGACGATGACGATGATGATGGTGATAGTGTTCAATGTTTATGATGCATGATGGTGATGATGATGGTAATGATGATG